CCTCTCTAAATGAGCTTATGCTTGCATGAGGTAATGAGACAGAAGCTATACGGTTTCATTTCAGTTGAACTGTGATCGTGGAGGGCGATCTTGCTTCTCAGATACTCTGAGTGCTCAATTGCTCTCGGTCAAATGTCTTTCGTGCATCCACAAACAAAGGTAGGTCTACCGCTTTCAGATATTGCGTCACTGTCTTTATTTATTCGTTTCATATTGACACATTTCACGTGCTGTGGTGATCTCAGCAGTTCCCTTATTCGATTTGTTGTTTCTAATCCGTTTTCTACGAAGCGGTTCAAGTTTATCGCTGACTTTGATTGCCACTCGGGAATTTTGCGTTTTTAATGAGAGTCTTTGAATGTTTTTTCAAGTTTAGGTTTCTCGGAATCCTGGAATAGCTCTGTGGGTTCTCTACCACACGCAGTCACCGCGGACTTCGTGAACCAGAGGTAGCTTTTCCTAAACGAGTGGTGTTAGTTTGTCGGCTGCTGACTAAGAGGTCTTTTTATATAGGACTGGTCCACTCTTTAATTGACCAGTGCTGATAGGAATGGATTCTTTTAGACTAAGTTAAACACTTCATTTTAACCAAAGGTTAGGACAATGAGCATATGGTATTCCGAACAAACTACTTTGATCTGGGACACGGTGTAGATATCCTGTATTCAGCAAAGTCAGTCTATCCTTATGAAAAATTGTTGTGCGTGATCAACGAACAAATCTATCAATAGTTGCAAAGATCCTTTCGGTCACCCTTCTAAATGGTGTCGGGGTGTGATGTCGTCGAGTGTCCTTGATTGATCAGCATCGATCTCTTTATCCTATCCTTTTTTTCGGGCTGAGTTTGCAGCTAGCTTTACTAGGCCTATGATGCGCTTTACAGACTACATTTGTTTAAGCCAATTTTGTGTGAATTAAACAGTATCGGAATTTCCTCCTTCAAAGCTAGTTACTGCGATTTAAAATAATGCCCAATCTTTCAGTTTCCCAACGGTTTCGGTCAGTTTTAACGTGTTGGTTTGTTTGGAATATCGTTTCACCCTCTGCATTCGATGCCTCCAAATCCAGTTTCGTTTCCATGTTTGTGATCTGAAAACAACTTTCCATTTAGTGACATGTTGTGGATTGACCTTCACTTACTGTAGTAAAAGGAGATAGGTACAGCTTCCTTAACCTTGTACGTCTCTCTCCTTCTTGCTTAACGAATTCATATTTCGCACAATTGTTTGGAGGAAAAGAGTGAACTATCGTATAACCGTGAATCATCTCAAGACATTCTTTTGAAAGTGCCAATATCTCAGGAAATTTCTTAGCAAATATTTCGTTCTTATTGGGGTAGGAAAAATTCTTCTGGTAAAAAGAGAGGTATCACTAGCTCAAAAGTGGTCGTAGTAGTGCTGGAGGTTAGGAATACCGTGTACAGTAAACTACTAGTTGGAACGACTAACGAGTATTTTTTTTGCTGTTCATAGTGGTCAGAATTGAAGTTCAGATGCTCTGACCGTTGATCGTCTTAATCGATCAAATTACTTTCACATGCTTCCACGCGCGAATGGAAAACCCGCCGGTGCTACGCCAAATTGGAGACAAGGCGTGGATGGTTTTGCGAAGGAGGCCCACTTTTTGGAACGAAACCGCGTCGAACGTTACAGGATGGGCGTTTCCAGATTTAGAAGAGAGCATTTACAAAGTTGTATAGTTCCTTTCTAAATCGAGCATGTTTAATATTTTTATACGCGTTCGGCTTCTTTGAATTATTAAAATATTCGTGAAACCAAATTCTATGATAGAGTAGGTCATGGTCTCGTATGTTTGCTAACACGACATAATGTTTCAGGAAGTTTATGTGTGAAAATAAGGTGGAGTAAATGGATATTTGAATGATTATATTCTTGAGAAATGCAGGACAAGGGCCGTTTATAGTTTTAGCAAAGAAATTGCTCCTATGTAGCGAAGCATTTTTCTTATCAGAAACTAAATATCTAAGCCTGGATCTTAACACTTCGATTTTCTCAATTTTATTAGCGAATGTTTAATAGTTTGGTTAAGAGTGAGTAGAATGTGCGAAGACGTTGGCCTCAAGAACTCCAGAGCGATGGCGCTTTCGATATGCTGTATATATAGAATGGCGACACATTTTCCGTGTAACCAATGTGAACATGTTACCTTATTAGTTCTTGCAACATACAGAGATTTATGGTAGTTAAAAAAATGACACTTGTCCCTGGTAGCGGCTAGTAACAGCAGAGTGTGAACGGTGGGTTGGATAAGTTGTTGGGCATATTATTTATTATGGAAAACACCACTGAGTTTCAAATTTCAATTTGTCCCTTGTAATTTGCTTCTGTCCTCCAAGCGATTTACCTCCACATCGTGGTTGGGTGATGTATCTGGGTTTCGGGCTGCAATCTATATCGGAGAGATTCATCCTCTTAGTAAGATCTCCTATGCTGAGAAGGAGTCCGGGGTTTTCAACAAGAAGACCACCTAAGAGTAAACCAATACTGGAATCGGTCACAGTCCTGGTAACGTAAATAAGATAAATAAAACGTAAATACGTCATTTCCTGAGTAAGGTTACAACGGCAATTAAAAATGTGATACGTGAATCATAATTTTCGATTGGGCTCATAAGTTTGGTAGTTCGAATAGGCTTTCGTCAAACGCTTGTAAATTCTGTTCCTAACTAGACAGTTGCGGTCATCTTTCCACGTCTACTGTAATCGACAAGAGCTGATAAGCCTTTGGTGGTTGCAACCGCATTGATGCCGAGATATTTGCAAAACTCGGAACCGCAGATGTCTGCTATTACTATCTTTCGCAGCAGCTTTTTCATGACTGTGGTTCAGTTTCCATGGCTCGTTAACCAGTGTAGTACAGTTTCTAAAGTCAGCGATGTTTTTTTTAACGTTTCTCTTGTTTCCATCTAATAGAACTGATGGTCTTAGAAGTTCGTGCTCATGAAACAGCATTTACTGGTGTTTGTGTGATAGATCGATTTACGCGTTTGCTTTACTGACACACTGTTAATGACTAGCACCTTCCGCTAGCACTTCAACTGCATGCTAACTCGCATAGGTATCCGCATGCACATCGGTAATTGGATCAGGATTTCGAAGCTCAACAAGATCAAAGTGTGGTTAGCAGTTGTACATTTGGGCCAATGAAAACTGTTTTGGGTAAGTTATTACATAGTAACAGAGGTGCTTTTTTTTTTTGTTTTACTGTCCCACCTAAGGTGGTATGATTGCGGGAATGTGTATGATCGGTGTTTCCGGAAATGTTGTCAGTTTTAGGCATGGTTAGAGGATGTTGGCCACTTCGTCGATCTTGGTGATAGAGTGTTACTCTTGAAGCTTCGTGAAATCATATGTAGCTAGGAAAAAACTAGGAAAGCGAACAGGTATGTGCACTTGAGCCCGCCCACTGTTGTCAGTAGTAGTTTCTTTTCGTACGAGTTTCTGGAGCTTTCTTGTGCTCAGAGTCGGTATTCGAGTACATGAAATCGAGAATCTTAACAAGGTCTTTAATTTTCTGAAGAAAAACAAGATCCAGGCACATTGTGTACAACTTAAACTTCAACTCTCCGGCTTAATGCGTTGAAGTCGGAGAATTGTCCAACAATCGAAACTTTTATACAAATACTTTCACTAGTCATCTAGTGAATGGACTAGACTTCGGTTATTCATCATCGTTTGAATGCTCTTTATTGCTTACTCTCGTTGGCGGGAAGTTCATTGTAGGTAATTTGTTAGGCTTTTTATGACTGCATCTACATCAAAGTTCTAAGAAGTGCGAAATTGTGGAAACTCTGCAACAAGTGTACGAAACCTGACCTGTTGACGTACACCAACGAAATCTGGATCCGGATGTGCAACGGGCAGTGCGTGCATTTCCACTTCCTCAAGCGTATTCGGTTAGCCGAGTTCCTTATCAACATGTTATTGTTGTATAGTTTAAACAAAGGCTGTGCGGAATGCAAAAGGATTCTAGGATGTCGCCAGTAGAATTAATATTCAACTTTGTTCTTTGTTTGCGTCACAAATATATTTGTTTAAGAACGCTATTACTTGTCTATTTTAAGATCTGTCTTGTGGAAATGTACCTGGGCATGAAACATATACCATTTACCTGTCGACGAATTTGTATTTTCTACCTTGAAAACATTGAAGCTGAAAAAATTTTGGATAGGAATGAGCGTTTCATAAACGGTCTTATTTGGGCGATTATCCTTCGTTTTTATATCGGCGCTATAATGATTGAAGCCTGTTGTTTTCAATAAATGGAGTCTTAAACTCCATATGCTTACTTTATGCCTTTCTTTATTCTTAATTATGTTATGTTTCTAGTCATTGTTGTATTCTTTTGGGTCTACCACTGAGTTTGATTAAGGTCTTTTCCTATTCACAGCTAAAAGACAACTTTAAAAATGAATAAGAACGAGGTTAACTAAACACATGCCAATCATACACTTTTACTATGATGCCATCGGAAAACCACAGGTTCCCCAATGCCAGGTTAGAGAACTTCACGACAAGTTGGCGGAATGGTCTTGCCCTCAATGCTCTTATTCTTGCACATAAATGGATATAAAAGCCAGTTGTTTACTTCTCATTTGCAACACCATCCATTGTTGGTTTTCCTCATATTTCTCTTTTTGATTTCTCGTAGATAATCAGATGTTTTGTGCCGGAGAGTTGATGAACTTCAGTGCATCGAATCCTAATGGTCATACTAGAAATCTTAATAACGCTTTTGGTGTTGCTGAGGGAAAATTGGAAATTCCAGCTTGTTATTTCGCTATTCCATCTTTGGAACTTCTGGAAGAAACACTCTCGATGTAGAAATTCTTAATAATGATATATAAATTTCTCGTTTGCGCTATGAACATGCATCTTCTACGCTTAGCGTTATGACAGTTATACTTTAGATGTCCTCTTAAAGTTAAAGATGTTGATGCAACTCGTCCAGGTGAGAATTCAGTCATCACTTACGTATCACTGTGTTATCATTACTTCGAAAAAGGAAAGCCGGAGTTGACAGGAGCTCGTCGAGTGGCCAACGAGGGCCGTTCTGTTGTTATTTTATTTTTTCTTTGTAAAGTCATGTTTCTTGTTGCCTTTTTGCAGGTGGTTTTCCTTGAATTAAATATCCAGTCCTCCGAAGTCGCTTAACGCTTTTTTGTTCTAATTGTCACTATTGATGATAATGTTAAGATATGAAGATAACCGATCGCACTATGTGTTTTGTATTACGATTTCGTAATAAACTGAAGTACTGTTTAAGTACAGGAAATCATTTTCTTTGCAGATCGTTGGTAAATTGATCAACAGCGATACATTGGAAGAAGATTACGGCCATATTTCGTTGGACCTTTTGAAATGAATTTATGACGCAATCAAACAACTTGGGAATAGTCGGGTTGGTTTTTTTTATTTTTGTACTTATCCATCTTATGCTTTAGTACAGTACTTGGATTTAGGCTACATTTGTAATGAGTGTATAGGTTTCCGAACTCTCTGCATGGCATGGGAGAAGAACTCGGCAGGGTTGATCAATTCCGCACCATTGAGAAGCCTCCGAAGTGAGTTTTTCAAGGATTTCCTTTAAAGGAACGCTGTGAGTTTTGATTGAGATTTTAGTGTGAATGGAGTTGACGCACTATGAAGATTCTCTTGGGCTTCTGCAGAATCACATCGTTTTGTTGCAACGAAGTTGTCTAATGCGTACAGGTTTTGCTTAGTGCACGGTTAATAACACCTGTTTTGAAGCGCTTTATGCTTTGCTTAGGCCTTGTTTGCTATGCTTTTCGAAATCAAGGTGACTAGTTAACTACAAAGATTGTCGCGACTTCCTGATCATTGCACTCAAATTCAAAAACCTATGGTTACAAAGAGGCTGTTTTTGCTCGTCATATCTAAACGCCGCTTTTAAGCAGAAAAGCGATTTGTTGCTATTCCAGAAGAATTCAGTTTTTCATTCAAAAGAAAAAACGAGAGGCCATTCATTGTGATTGACAAAAGTCGTTTCTATTCACGATTCGCTAATTGCATGTAATCACATAGCAAATGGAATGCACTAACTGTGTCATCTGACTGTTTTACTTTTGATCTGTTCTCTTTTCTAGTTATTACTTTGGAATATCAAAATTAGAGGTCATATGAAAGCTAAGGGACCAAGCATTTAGCGCTGATCAATCCCTGACGAGAGCGCATTTCATTCGAATTCATCAAACGTCACTGAGGTGATTGATAGATGTTTGGCCTATGCAACAACTTCATGGATCAACGGCTTATAGAGGCGGCGCTTTCATGCTTTCATACTAACTTGGTACCAATTGCCGGCAGCGACGGACCGATGGAGCAGGAGCTTGATTTGCCAGAAGTGCAGGATCGTACCAATAACATTGTATTTGATGGAGCAAATCTGTAACAGCTGCGCCAAACGCGCACGGTGTCACAATAGAACCATATAAACTAACCTTTTTCATGAATTCCTTTGGAATAAAGTGTTCATTTTAATATTATGGAACAAGACAAAAATTGAAGCAATCTAAAGACATGGAAACGCCTTTAATGCCTGTTCTTTTTTCTACGAAGGTCAATAAAAGAAAGAAAAACAGAATGAGATACAAATAGGTTGGAAAGCACTATCTGCGAATTTCGTCGTGCCAGACGTATTTTTGGATGCCTAGCAAATACCAGTCAGTGCTCGTTGTTCGCCTACTATTTAACTCTCTTTCCTAGAGTAGCTGAAGATTTGAGGACTCCAGAAATTTATAAAAGCGGTCTTTTGTCTATTAGTTTAATAGCATGCATATATATACATATATATATACATATATATACATATATATATATATGTACATATAATCCTATCGTCCCATTGATCATCGAGAGACACTCGACGACGCGCTAGTAAACCTTCCATTTTTCTGTGTCGTGTGCAAGAGTAGCCCAGTGGATTCCGATCGCTCTAGGAGCTCGTTTGGCATCGTGTACCGGTTCTATGGTTTTCGTGGAGAACTCTGACCATCGACTACTGATTTTCCTGTTGCAAGTTCGACGTCCTGAAGTGTCGAGTCACTAAAGCCTCTTGTGTGTGCATCGGTTGCCGTTCATACACATTGCGTGTTATGCCCCACCTATATTCGATGGTTTGGCGTATAGAAACGCACACTTGATCATTCACAGTTTACACAGGTCGGAGCTTCGAATCTCATTCCTCTCTTGTATGACACGGGATACTTATAGCATCGTACTTTCGACTGTGCCTTCAATAACACTGACTGATTTTTCATTCTGCTTGCGCAGCAACCAACCTTCTAACGCGTACGTTATGACAGCAAGTATCGTGGGCTGGAAAAGGTGGGCGCGGAATTGGGTGTTCTTTGTACTCTTCACTACGTCCTCGATGGTCTTCAAATCTGTCCAAGCTGCTCTGCTCGTTTCCTTCTGCTCAGTTCAAGCTAAGTCGTTCACCATCTTGATTTCCCGACCTGGATAGAAGTGGAGCATTCAGAATTAGTCATGCCGTTGAGCATGAATGGCGCATACATAACCAATTTGTTGCTCGTGAACATCGTTGTTGTGGGATTTAGTCGAATTCTAATCCTTTTACTGGTGTTATCATAGTCGGTAAGCATTCGTTTCACATGCGCGAGAAGTCGATTATTTTGACTCACTATTTGTGTTTATTGCTAAAGATTTTATCTTGACTTTGTTTATTATCTGTAATTTCTTTGCTCATAACATGCGCTGTTTTATAACGGAGTTCAGGGACTCACGTGAAGGGCGCATGTGGCGCAGTGGTTGGCGGGGCTCTGTGACCCATACGTGGAATCGATCCCCGCAACTATGGCCCACCAAACCTTCCATCTCTTTGTGGTCGCCAAATTGATACCAGACTTATCTGGGGGAACAGCAGCACTGACATGATACATTGGTAGGCCTCCACGAGTCCTTCCAATGGCCAGATATGCATTGAATAACATCCAAACGATACTTAATGAAATCGAATGCATGACACATCCCTCAGGGATTGATCAACGCCGAGAGTTTTATCCTTTTATCCATATGACTTTAGTATGTGCGATTTTTTAAACTAGTGACCATGAAGAGTGCGAAAGTCACTTTCAATTGCGGCGGATTTATCCGATTTCTTCATAGCATACTGTTTTTTTTTTTGTTTCCTTCTTCTTATCAAAAGTTATCTATCCCACAAATAGGTGTTGTCCACTGCATTTATTAAGCAGTACTACTGCATAGAAAGAGCAAAATCAGTAGATTCTGTCGTTTTGAGACCTTCGTGTTATTCTGTTGTGATGAGCATCATACCAAATGTGGCGCTTTTCCTCTCACTCATGAAAACACTTCTTCAAATTCATTCGGAAAATTCTGAGTAAATTTCCACTTTACAGAGGTCGCCACATGCGTTTGACGTAGCTAGAGCTGAAGGCGACGATCGATGCCGTACAAGCACTAGAGATCGCTGATCAGTAAGGGGTGCCTTATGATGCTGTGGTCAAATGTAATGTTACGACACAAACGGACAGTTTTAAAAATTATCGAAACGGTTTAACACTCTCGTGACGACTGGGACCTGTACGTGTCATAATGATTTTGTGTGAGGTGTCGGTAGAACACGTACAGGTGTCATTTTTCTTCGGATGGTATATTTTCAGTCATAAACGATAAAAAGACAAGGCTCTCAGCGCTCATCACAACCCCTGGGTGATACGCCATGAATTCGACTTTATTAAGCATCCGTAGAGATGAATGACTGTATATCTGGTCCATACAATAACTCGCGGTGGCCTTCTGATGTGCCGAACAAGTGCTACTATCCTCCCGGACAAGTTTGGTACATATTTGCTGCCCATGGATTACAACGCGACTCTAACCACCGCGCCACAATCGTCCCGTGTACACGGAAGTACGAATGAAAATTTATAACCGACCACACGTATCACAGATAAAGTTATGATCACGACTTAGTAGGTGAAAGCAGGAGCAGGCACCCTTTCTGGGCTAACCAACACATTTATGCATACTTGCTTGGCTGTGTTCTCGTTTATGTGAATTTTATTCCGCGAATCAATTCGGCCAAAGCCTGTAATCAAGTGAACTTGAAGTATATGGTAAGCGATCAGGAGTCGCCTTCAAAATTAAGTTCCTCGTCTGCTCAGAGAAAGACTGGCAAGCTACACATGACTTTACAGAGCCCGCATTTTTAGAGCTTAGCAAGTTATGCTATGGGTATAACGCGGTAAATACAGTGAATATACGGGCCTTATTCCGTTGACCCTGAAGGAGCCCCGATTTTCCTTTTATTAGGGTAATGTGTGCATGACAGGCGCATTACGCTCCTTCATTGTTTCACAATATCTAATTTCATAGTTTAGGTGTATGCGTCTGTTTTATCACTTGTTCACGTGCACATGTCTGGTTAACGCTCGAAGAATCTGTAACTATTGTGTGCGAAGAATTGAGTTGAATGCGCTCAAGCGGAACGTCTACCTGATGTACCTACGAGACGAAAGTGTTCTGCAGCCGAACACTAGTCGAATTATCGAAAAGGCCACACCCATTCCTCCAATATGGGAACGCTGTGATGAATTTTGTAGAAAGTTGGTAGAAAATGGGAAATCTAGGCATGCTAGTAGGAATGCAAGGCAACTACCTACTGGGTGTAGGCAATGAAAGGATGTTTTATTAGACTGTTTTAATAAGGCTTATCAGAAATAGGTTCCCTTAAGCCATAGTAAACATTCGACCTAAGGATCTTATAATATGGTAATAAATTAAATATTGTATATTGCTACAATAATAATTAAGAAGTGCAAACTGATTACTGTACAGCGTACTAAGGTGTTGATTACTACTTTCTTGGTTTCTTGAATGTTCCGTCTTCACTGGTTGTGCGGGTCCCATCATAATTTTCGTTTTTTCTGAAGTTTTGCTGGTCTAGCCACCGTGGTTCCTTTGAGTTCCGTGGTCAGCCTGAACTAAGTCTTTTCGAGGCCGTCAGTGCCACAGGCAGTTCCCGCCTTTATGGATGAGAAGGAGATTAGACACCATTCAACTACTTTCATACCAGGACGGTGATGGATCTTCGTACTGGTTTACTCTTAGCTAGGCTTCCTGATGGAAACGCCGAAGCCCATCTCAGCATGGAAGATCCTCCATTGTACATCGCAGCGCGACACCCAGGAACACCTCCTAGCTACAATGAGGCGGTGAACCGTTGGAACGAGATGTGGATTATATATAAGAGATATAGATTCTGTTCGAGTACGAGAATTGTTGACCGGTGCCGGTTTTACAAGTTGTTGGTGGCTAAATTAACATTTGTGATAAAAAGTTTATGATATCATTCAGTTGCTATGGAAATATGGGTTAGGAGTATTCATTTTTTCCGAAGTACCTAACACAATTATGAATCCGAACAATGTTTACGTTTATGCCTGCTACACACTAACACTTCAATATAAACATTGTCTAGAAGTTCTACATTATAAAATAACTGTTTGGAAGGAAAATTCGAAACATCAGGTGCACTTGGAAAGCGCGATTACTTTTTCCGGTAGGTCGAGCGTAACACAACTCACCAACCGAGACCCATGGTGTGCCTTTCTTCAATCCCGTTTTTAACCCTAACACAGCCATCTGCAATCATCCGTCAACAGGAGTAGTCTGGATAACGCAATCGATATTGGACCTAGTTGAGATAAAGCTGCCTTCAAAATCACGATATCCAGCTTTTCATTTATTTTTTATTTTTTCATTTCAGGTCGCGATATGAAGTACAACCACATTGTAGCCAAAATAACAATGCTAAACGAAATAAGAGAAACTGGGCGACGCAATGGCAAATCTAGGGTCTCGGTTGGTGCAGTGGGTAAAATGTGCGCCTCCGGCAAGGGTAATCGCTAGTTCAAGGTGCACATGAGATTCCTAGTTCTCCTCATATCTTTATCGTTGTCTTTTTATTTCACATTGTTACCTGCCGTAAAATAGCAATAGCCAGTGAATAAATAACCAAGTGTTTTCCAGTTACATTTTTACAACATCGGTAATAGAAATGCGTAATTAGAGTTGTGAATGTATCCTTTTCCAAGCATGTAGTTTTCCCACTGGAAATGCTCACGTTGAAAACGCCTAGTCCTTCCATGTTCTATAAACATGCTCACAGGAGTCTCCTAAGTAACATGCCATCTTTTAATGCTAGGTGAGTGAGTTTCACTTCTAAATTTTTGTATGTAAGCACTTATTGTTTGTCTATGAAATTGGCGAAGATTAGATAACTTGTTGAAAAGTGCAGTGTAGTATACTTTCGCTAGCATAGCGCAGTGAGAATACCTATGCTTGACTACAAAATGTCTCAAAGAAAGGCTTTGTGCGGCAAAATAGGCCAAAAAAAAAGGCGCGCATTCGAGTCAGGATGTACGGTGTAAAACCTACAGCAACTGCATATTGAAATCAATGCACATGCTCGTCAGAGGGATATGACAATGGATGACACATTTTCTATGCCCTACAGTCATTTCCACCACTGTTTTTATCGCTGTCGTTCTAGGCGCATTCTTCGGTGAGTTGGGTGTAAGTATTAGCAGCAAAAATTCTGTAAACTTGTGAATGGAACTTCGACACTAACGTGGTAACGACTTGTGTGAATAAATTCATTATAAAATTAGGAAGAAAATGGATTTGATCGAAAACCGGAACTGCCCCGCTGAGACCCTGCACGAAGCATCTGTTTTCTGTCGAAACTCAATTTCGAAGAGGAATATCTGCTTTGCATGATAATGCGCAATGGTAAAATGCAAAAGACGATCACAGGGCAGATGGAAAAGGCGGAGTATCCCCATCCGGATGGATCTGTCGTTTTTAGAGACGGGAAATAAATGCCAACTATGACTGCATCTGGTTGACATGTTTTTTGCTCACATAGACTAAGGGCAATATATCCGGAAGTGGTTTAAAAAAGCAATTACACTCGCCGGAGCAACTTTTGTTATAGGCAATTTTCTGACAGTTGATTTTTCGTTTGTAGACTAAGCTAATGATATTGAGAGTGGTCAATTTAACTCTCATTAGCATCGAATCATGCTTTAAAGAGTAGTTTTAATTGGGTAAAAGAGGTGTGGTTATCTGAGTGTCTGACATTGAACCATTACTATAAGATCTATTTATCTCAGGCACTTCGAGATCCTTGCCTTAATTAAGTAACTTGCGTTAAAACTTCGTGTCTGTAACGAGAGCTTAGTTTGCAATGTTAATGTGATACAGACTCTATAGGCAAGGTGCGGATCGAATGCAATAGTTCCACACGATTGGCTTCTGAAAGAAGTAAAAGTGAAATTGATTCCGTTTGCAAACCTACGACTATTCGAAATAAATTGTCATTCTAACAATCAGCAATGGAATAACGACTACTTGATCTCTTTCTTTTGATAAATGAGTGCTGAGGAGAAACAGTGCAACTTTGGCAAGATCCTAGAAACTGCGCTTTTAAACAAATGTGTTGCATCAACGAGGACACCCAACTGGAGATGGAAAAACGAACACGCCGTTAGACACTCCGTACAGTTTGATTAGTATTGAATCTATAGGTACCGACTCTTTACGCAAGCCTCTAATACTGGTAATTTCGAGAAAGTGCTTGCAGTTTTACGTCTCAGCATAATGGGGATGTAGAAAAGGGCAACCACAAGAAGTTCTCCCTTGCTAAGGCTAACGAACCATTTTGTTGCAGTTCGCTCAACTGAAATGAATAGTAGGGATTCGTTTACCCACTGTGGTGTACAAAGTTGAGAAGGAGCTCGATGTTTCTACCGGAACTACTGCCAGGCATTAACCGGAGCGAGCAAACACCCACACCATGTAACAACATCTCAATAACTGTCAAGTAGTGACAATCTGATAGAGTTCGAACATGCTTTTTAAGGCTCCACAGAGAAAAAAAAATCTTGTCCAACCGGCAAATTATCAGTCATGTAAAGCCGTTCTTTGCGTTCCCATGATTCTTCGAGAGATGACGAAGACGGGCGCCAAAACATTCAACTGATAACAAAAAGTCAGGCACATGGTGAAGCGACTTCAACGTTACGGAAATTTTACACCTGAAATAGCCTGTTCTTACTGAGGTAGTAAAACTTAGGCATTTGTAGTGTCAGTATAACGTACATTACTGCACTTTTCATCAATAATAACAGGTGAATGATAAGCCAAAGAAAAACTGGACTGTGTGCCCATGAAATTGCTCTTGAAGACAGATCACCGCCCTAAGTACATAACTATGCGAAAAACAGAGTAAAGATAAGTGCGAGTAAGAGGCTGCTATTGTGGAAGTAACGTTTTTCTTCAAAACCTCCATTACTGCAAAGGGCAGATTCGTGTACGGTGCTATCCTATCCTGAGGCAACAACATTCGTGGGTCACAGTCACACCAAAACTAAAGAAGATTTTGTTTTCTAACATTAATTGAGTGATA